AGTGATCAATCCAACAATTGCACAGTCTCAAATCGTGAATCAATAACATGTAACAGAGTTAAGAAGGTTCATTTACACATGATCTAATAAACTTCTGTAAAACACGTCTTTTTAGCTAGCATGTCATTTTAGTTAATTTAGCTAACCTGTAATTTTGCTAATTCAAGATGTCGCTAATTTAGAATACAGTATAATCTCACAATGAGATTGCTGGCATTTTTGCTAAATTAATATTTTGTTAATTCATGTATTCACTAAAATGGCAAGTAGCTATTTCAATGCGTTTTACAGCACATTGTCAAAAATGCAAATTTATATATTTATTAAGTGCTTCAGACGCAAAGCTTACAATTGCTTTTGCAAACTATGTATATTCCATTTTTAATGTTGTATTTAGTGACCATACTGCCGTATAATTTTAATATGATTGATGAAGAGACAATATTATTTTTAATGTTGACGAAGATGGCACGACCATTCTTTTGTTTTTGTAAACTTTTTATTGTATACAAGGCCAATGGCCTACATTACTGTAATAACATAAGAATAATTTGAAACCATATATTAAAAGTTGTCTTTGACAAAGACAAAAGAACAAAAGGATTATGAGAATGTAATAAAAGTGAAATAAATTGGGTTATTTGTAATAATAAGGGGGGAGAGATTTTTCTCGCAAATGTTTGTGTCTTCCACTTTCTGTAAAACAAATAGTTGGGTAAATGAATAATATATATTGTTTTTGCGTCAACATGTAGAAAAATATCCGTGCATGATTTAATTAGGCGAATCAAAATTGTTTCCAAAATGAGTGCATTTTCTAATAAACTTTAACCCTACAATTTCGTTGAAAATACAATTCCATGCAAAAATAAATCAGTTCTTACCGATTTTTTTTTTGTTACAACCTCAACTTCTTCATTTGGTATTAGAATACTAGTTTCATTTTCCCCAAAGTTGCGACTAGATGATGCCAATGACTCATCAGATATGTAAAAACTTGGTGTTTGAATGTTATTTCTGGAGTTCTCTTGATTTTCATTCAGTGCTTGTGATTCACTGCAATCATTGGCTTGTGCAATGAGGTCCACCAGTGATAGCTTTTTCACAGGCACTGGTTCGTCTACTTTGACCACCTGAAACCTGAGAAGGGGGCAATAATATTTCTTGAGTAGTTGAAAACGAACAATTGAAAATATTGTGAGAGATAAACTTTATATATACCGGTACTGCTAACAAGACTTAATAGGCCTTCTCACCACCAGACTTTCTTCCCCTAAATTTTTCTGCACTTTTCAATATTTCTGGAAATGAACCCCAATTTTGGAGCCAACAGACAAAATTTGAGTCAATTTTGAATTTTTACTCAAAAAGTTGACTATTTTGTCTCAATCTTCTGAAGGAAATAAGTGCAGACTATAAACAGGACTATTTTGTGAATTAGTGATGAAAAGAGTAAATTGGCGGTGAAAAGGTTAATCAGAGGTGATGAACATATGAAATAGGAGAAAAAAAAGAAAAACAGACAAGAAGACTGGTAAAAAAAAAATGGTTTTAAGCAAATTAGCCAAAGACATTTTTTGATCAGATCTGTGTTTCAGCAATAACATTTGAAATTAGTTTAAGTGTGAAAAGTTAAAAAAAAAACCTACCCACGTTTTTAATATGTGGACTCCACGAAATTTAATTTCAATTCAAAGTAATTAAAACGCAATAATACAATAATGTACGTAGTGCTTTTTGATAAGATTAAATAAATTTATGAAAAGATCGGCCAATTAGGTTCGACATTAAGTGAAAGAAAATTGCAGGACACATAATTTGTTGTTTACGGTCGTATACAATAAGGTCACGACGTATAAAATTAGGTCAAATGAGGTGAACATTAACGAACATACCACAACACTACCACAAGGCGACACTGAACGCAATACGTTCCGACTTGTCAACGCATATGCATTAGCGTTATCTAGCGATAATGACTACTTCGGCGTATCAATACTATAAGCGCATCGATATGCAGACTCGTACTCATGCTAAATCGGACCGAGGTAATTTGTCGCCAGTTGACAATAAATAAAGTATACGAAGTCTCGTTGAGAGAACATCGAGTGAACGACAGCGTGCTTACATGAATTCATTAAAAACGTCCCTGTAATGTTTTCTCTCTTGAAATTCATAACTCACTGAACATGTACACATACACCGTCAGCTTAATTAGCGGTAATTAATATAACTAACCGATACCTACCGACTGCTTGCTTTACGTCGCCGTTCTTCTTCCTCCATGTTTCACGTCGAAATGCTTTGAAATGCTGCGTACCCCTTATCTTTGTCGCTGTTCACACTTTCACTCATCGACGCGAAGACCGCACCCAGCGGCGGCGTCATGGATACGCAATATTTACAACCAATCTGAATAAATTCCGATTTATCTATAGGCTCTTTTTTTTCAATTTTCATACTTTATTATTGTACTTTTTGTTCATTGATGACTATTCTTTGGTTTTAAAAAACAAATAAAACAAGTTAAACAAAAAATAGTAGTAAATGTACAATAAAAAATATAGAAATAAATAACAATAAATTGGAGCCTATATCTACATCGGATTTTAATTAGATTGACAACACACAGATAACTGTATTTTTTTCACATGCAATTGTGACTCAAACTGCAAGGCCAGCAATTATGACGTCAGCAACACAGTGCATCATGTACAAAGATTAATCAACATAACCATGGTTTTGTATACGTCCAGTATTATGCATTAAGGTTTATTAACTAGTACATTGCTGTAGATGATACGTACTCAAAAATGAAAAATATTTTGCAAATAATATGTTGCATTTTAATGACCATATTTGCGTTGATGACCAAGGTGAAACATATACCTACTACTTCCATAATCGAGGAACTGTGCTTTGAAATGACGCATCCCTGGCATCATAGGATATCGTTCGACAAATATATGAAATATGATAACTGTGATTTGTAATGAATCGTATGTGTAAAGATTTGTAATATTTATGAAATGTGATGAAAATAATTATTTTGTCATTTTCTAGTATACCCACGGCAAGGAATCCCGACTATACTGTAAAGGG